GGCGAGAACCCCCAAAGGCCCACCATTGGCAAGATCTCCAGTCGTGATTTTGTCACGACCCGGGTAGAAGAACAAACAACTGAATGTAAACATACCATCCTTCTCCTCCTCCTCCTCCTCCTCCTCCTCCTCCTCCTCCTCCTACTCCTCTGAGCAGAATTAATTTCTCCGAGGTCCACGCGGGTTGCATGGACTGGCGCCTCCATAGCGCGCGGAGCGCGCCAGGGGGCGGCGCCAGAGGCGGCGCCCGGGGGGGGGGGGGCCAACTGCCGATCCAGCAAGCCCTCACGGACATCCGAGAGATCATGCTTATGTCTCTTCCTCTTGTTCTTCGTCTGATGGGCCCTGAACGCCGCGAGAAATCGCAGCTCGAGCCCCGGGCCCCATCTTCCGCTGCATTTCCAGGCCGCATCGATCTGTGATGGTCCCAGGGCCCGCGCCGGGACGAAGCCGCCCGCTGCAAAAAAAAACGCGACGCGCAGATCTGAAGGTTTCTGCAGACTCGTCCGCTGCGACGGAGTTGCGACGCGTAGATCTGAAGATTTGTGCACTTTTTCGGTTGCTCGCGTCGTGTCTTTCTCGTGACCCGCGGGGGGGCTGGGTTTCCCGCCCTTTGAGCAGGGGCCGACCGTCACGGCATTCCTGTAGGACTACCGCGACATGCTTTCAGAACAGAAGGATGTTCAATGGACAGAAAAAGTCCTTAGAGCACAGAGCCAATAAATATATATATATATATATGTATATATATATGTTCAGGATGCTAAGCGGCGGTGAAGCGCGGAGCGCCAGGAAAATGACAGAGATGAGAGAGTGGCGAGCGACAATGCTAGCATTTTCCAGGCCGGGCTCAACGAGCCTCCGAAACACAAGAGGGTTGCACAACATGCATTCCGAGCAATACGTCGGTGCCGGCACCACCACACTCCAGAGTATAGTACAGGGTGGGAGGGCGGGGGACCAGAGCGACTATGGAGACGCCCAAAGGTCCCCCTCGGACCTTTGGCCTGAGACCGCCTCGCCGCCACGGAACAAAACAGTCAAAGACAAATATGTTCAGGATGCTAAGCGGCGGTGAAGCGCGGAGCGCCAGGAAAATGACAGAGATGAGAGAGTGGCGAGCGACAATGCTAGCATTTTCCAGGCCGGGCTCAACGAGCCTCCGAAACACAAGAGGGTTGCACAACATGCATTCCGAGCAATACGTCGGTGCCGGCACCACCACACTCCCATAGCTCCCCATATTATAGGCCTTCAGGGTGGGTGGGTTGGGCCCTTAGTTCATCACGCGCTGATTCTGAAGGATCCGAGGGAACTGCGTGAGGAGCCACCGCAAAGAGGTCTCACCGTGGACGCCTGGCACCGCCTTCAGGCGGTCGAGCTGCTTCAGGAGGCGGCCCTTTTTCTCGTAGCGCTTGCAGCTTGCCAGACTTTTCCAGCGGCCTCTCTTCTGGATCTGCACGATCGGGAGGTCGTCCAGGCCATCTGTCGACGCACCGCCGTGTCGAAGGCAGTGCGGGGTGAGGCGCAGGTTCTCGAGCCCGAGCTCCAGGGTCCCGCGCCGGAAGACCCGCTCGTACGAGCTCAGAGAGAGGCCGTCGAACACCAGCGCGCCCGCCTCGGTCGTCCGATGCAGCACCTGCAGGATCTTGGTGAGCAGCGGCCTTCGAGCCTCCGAGGTGTCGCCGAAGATGATAGTGTCGTCGAAGTCGCCGCTCTTGGTAGGGCGCCCCTCCTCTTCTGGGCAGATCATGGCGGCCCAGCACCTCCTGGCGCCGTGGCCGCCCTGTGGCGGGATGAGCTGGTCCCGCCCCAGCCCGAGGCCCTCCGAGGCCCGCAGGTAGCCGTCGAAGAGCACGAGGGTGAGCGCCGCCGAGTTCACCATGAACGGCGTTCGCTGGCGGCCCATCCAGTGGGCGAGGGCCAGCGCTGCCTCCCACGGGCACCCATCCCGCGACCTGGTCTGCGAGGCTTTGCGGAAGCCACGCAGGGCTCGCCGCGTCCGGGGGAAGTGCGGCGTCTTCGCCCAGACCTCGTCGATGTGGTACATCAGGGCGTGGACGACGTTGTTGGCCCGGCTCGCGGGCTCCCCGTCGAAGAAGAGCTTGTCGAGGTAGCGCTCCAGGGCCTCGTCGTGAGCCTCTGTGCTCACGGTCGAGAGACGCTGTGCCTCCCACCAGGCCACGAGCATCTCGTACTCCCGCTGGTACAGCCGCAGCGTGGCCCCGCCCACCGACCTCTGCTTCAAGTAGCCCTCCTCGCCGGGGGACACCTTCACCGTCTTGGCCACGGCCCGTCTGGTGGAGGCGCGCCGCCGCCGATCGCCGGTCGGGGGACGACTGTCGACCCCGTCCGGCAGCAGAAGGCCCAACGGCGGCCGGCCCCCGGTGGTCAGGGCCGCCTGCTGCGCGAGCCGCGCGGCCCAGCGCTCGGAGGGCGACGCGACGCTGCTCCGCGCTGTCGCCACAGAGCTGGTGCCCGACGGCGTGCTCCCAGCCAGTAGTAAACCTCCGTGGACACGAGGGGACCTCGAGCGGCTTCGGCTGCGGGAGGCCCGCTGCCGCTGCCAGCTCGCGTTCCCAGCGCGGGTCGAGCGCCGGCTCGCCATCCCGGCGGAGGGCACCCGGCCCGAGAGCTTCCTTGAGCCCTCGGGCTGCGACGCGGCAGAGGCCAGGAGGGTAGGCGCCAGCCAACGAGGTCTTCCATTTCCAAACTAGCTTGCCTGTCTCATCTGGGATCTTTACTTTACCTTCTAGACGTTCATGGGGTACAGTACACACACAGGCCCTCTCAATGACACTCAAGGACGGGACGTTCGTCACGAACACGGTCGGCTTAAGGCAAGGAGCCCCATAGCGACAACAGTGATACTCGAACGACACGCAGCCCAGTTTCTCGAAGATGTTAACGAGGGGCGGGTACTTCAGGAGCCTCGAAGACCTAGGGTTCTCGAGCGACACGGAGACCCCACACCGAAGGCACATCCTGAGGACCCGCACCGTGAAGTCAGCGCACCCAAGGCCTGCTCTCGAGCCTTCCGAGTCTGGGGCCCCAGTCGTGTTGGCTACACTCCAGCGGGCACACGGGGTAGCAATGTGTACATGACAGACATATCCGTGAGAAATCCAATGCAGTATCTTTTGCTGGACAGCGATGCAAAGAACGTTGAAGTGCGGCCCGGCCGAGACATCGACAGGGCGCAGGATGCGGAGGCCAGCCGCCGCGCACGCGCCAGAGAACCTGCAGCTCCCGCCGAAGATCTCCAGCACCCCAGCGCGGTCGCGCCGGCGCGGCGGCCCCCGTGCACCAGGCCACAGTGGCCGGCGCCGGGGGCCCGCAGGAGGCGCCGGCGCCGCCGCTGAGCCCGCGGTGGCGCACGGGGCGCCCTCGGGCACGCGGTCGGGGCGGCACGCGCCCGCGCGCAGGCGCCCCAGCCGGGCGGCAAGGCGACCCCCGCGCAGCGACTCGCCCGGCGCCAGGATCCCCTGCTCCGCGAGCCTGGAGTCCGAGTCCGTGGGGTTGCGGTCCGTCTCTACGTAGCGGCGCACCCACCTCACCTCGGCCCCGAGCTCGACCGCCGCTGCCCGGCGGCACACTGAGTTGAGGGCGGGGTCATGCGCCCGGCCCCGCTCGGTGGCGAGGACCTCCGAGAGGTTATCGCCCAGCGACAAGACCACGCCTCCGTGGCTGGCAGGATCCCGGACGGCGTGGTACAGCCCCACCAGCGCGATCCTCGCCTCCTTCATGTGGATCGCCTCGCGGCGCTGCCAGGCGCCAACCAGAAGCCGCCGCCAGCGCGTCGGCGCCACCAGCGTGTCCGGCAGCGCGGGCACGATCCCCGTGACCCTGGGGTGCGGGAGGCCGGGCTCGGCAGCCCGCAGGGCGTCGGCAGGCACCAGGCTGCTGACCCGCGGGGCGCGCCGCGCAGGAGCCGCGCGGTCGCCCCTCCGATCCCAGTCGCCGTCCTCGATGTCCAGGTCAGCGCCCAGCTCGCGGAAGTCGGCGTCCAGGCCGGTCTGAGCCCCGTCAATGCCGGGCCCCTCGTCCTCCTCCGCGACGGCGAATCGCCAGCGCTCTCGCCAGCGGCAGACGTCGTACAGCAGTTGGGGGTCGATCTGCCCACTGTGGATCGCGTAGCCCCGCGTCGAGGCGTCCGAGCAAAAGGCGACTGGGTAGTGGTGCGGCCGCAGTCGACTGCGAACGAGGGCTAACAAGCCGCGGCAGGTGACCAGCTCCCCTCGAACATGGCCGTCAAACCGTCGGTAGCGCCCGAGGTTCTCAGTGCTAAAAACGCACAGCCGCGACAGCACGCTGAGGGCGGGCCGCGAGAGCATGAAGAAGTTGACCAGGTGGCCGAGGATGATGCGCATCACCTCCCCCGTGCAGCCGCCTCGGAGCTCCAGCTGCCGCAGCGCGTGCCACAGACGCCAGAACCGAGACCGCCGCTGCCTCCAGACGAACTTGGCGCCCTGCAGCTCGAAGCCCACCATGTCGAGGTTCGCATCGCACTCCACGTTGTCCCGCAGCGTGAACCCCCGCTCGCTGAGGACGGCCACCATCGAGGCGTAGAACACGGCAGCGTCCTCGCGGTCGAAGCACAACAAGTTCCCATTGTCCACGTACGGCGCAGCGACTGGGCGCCCCTTGGCCAGCCGGGGCGCGGGCTGCCCGTCGCGGAGCAGCTGAGCCTCGGCCAGACCGCGATCGCAGCGCATCACGCGCACGAGGGACTCGACCATGGCGTCAGTCAGGGCTGAGTGGCAGATGAAGAGCGCCCAGGTCCACCCCATGGGCACGCCACAAAAGCACGGCCACACGGGGTCCTTGGCCGCGACGGGCAGCCAGGTGCCGACCCCGTCCACGACGTCGAAGACCTGCGTGATCCCTGCCTCGGCGGCGGTCATCCGGCAGTCGATGCCGAACCAATCGCTCATCACCTTGAAGCTCAGCTGGTAGAACCCGCCCTGCAGGTCGACCGCGGCGCCGCACAGCTCAAGCGAGCCAGCGGCCCCAGGCTCCAGCGCGGCATCGCTCAGGTCGAGAGCGGAGGCCGCCCCCGGCGTCGCCAGGTACGAGTGCGGCGGCCGCCGGTGCCAATGGTTCGGCACGCGGGCGTCGACGATAAGCCGCTGCCACCAGCCGTCCTTCTTGACAACCGTGAAGAGGCCGATGAAAGCCTTCACCGAGGGCCGGAAGACCACGAGGTTGCCCCGGTGGAGGGTGAGCACGAGCTCCTTCATCAGCTTGCGGCTGAACCGAAGTCTGGGGTCGGTGTATGGTCGAGGAGGTGGACCGTCCGCCTCCACGTCGCCGGCCCGCCGCTCGATGTAACGCCAGGGGTCCGTCAGCAGCTTGCGGGCGTCCGCGCCGACCACATCCAAAGCTTCCTTGGGCATCGTGCTGTTCTGCAAAATCTTGAGCCGCTCCAGCTGGATGGGGACCCGGCTGGAGGACTCGCTCGTCAAGTACATGTCCGCGCACTTCAGGAGGTCCGGAAGCGCCGAGGAAAAACTAGCATCTGGAGGGGCAGGAAACTGGTCGTCTACCCGCTCCACGACACGGTCAAGGATCGACTGCTGAGCCGACGTGACCTCTCGCTCTGCTGGCCGCGACCGCCGCGCCTGCAGTGGTCGGCCGATCCGCGCCGACGCCAGGCCGTTCAGCGCCGCCACCGCGTCGGACACGAGGGCTGCTGCTGAGGGCTCGTCGCCCGCTCGAGTCGGGAGGCGGCGCGAAGCCGCCCGATCACCCCCGCCAAGCCTGTCCAACACGGAGCCCGTCGGCAAGGGGAACGTATCGCTGGGCGATGACAAAATCTCGCGGTCAGTGGAGGCCGTGCACGGCCTCGAGGAAGGGGGCGCCGTCGATCCGCCCAAGCCCCGCGATACCGGCTTGGACCCGTCGCCGCCCCCACGCCTCTCTAGTTGTTGCCCGTCTTGCCGCCGCCCTGCTGGCGGCCGGCCTGCCTCTTCTTCTCGTTCTCCTGCTCCTCGACGTCCTGCCGCATGCTCTTGAGCACCACGGCGCTGGCCTTCTGCTGCTCCGCCATGTACTTGTCGAACTCCGTCGTCTTGAGCCCCCCTGACTCGTCGAAGTTGGACAGCACGAAGCGCTCGAGGCCGGTGAAGTCTGGCGCCTTCGGGTTCCGTCGCACGGCCTTCTGGCAGACGACGATGCGGCGACAGATCAGCTCCACCGCCGCCAGGGACACCATGTTCGTCTGGTCGTATGCTTGGAGCATCCTCAGGTAGTCGAAGGCCAGGCGCACCTCCCGCGCCACGCTGCCCGCTGGGTTCACCCCGCTCTTGCTCTCCCACCACGTCGGGTACAGATGGAGCTCCAGCCCCGCCGCCGCCACGTCGCCCAAGACCTCCTTGGCGGCCGAGGGTCCTTCGAACGGCCAGTCTGGGAACTTCGGCTCGCGGAAGAGGTTGATGGACTCGCGGAGCAGCATCACTCTCTTGCCACCCGCGTCGCGGTGCACAGGAAGAATGCGCAGGTCCCGACCTGGGCCGCTGCGCTTCTTCTCCAGCCAGGCGTCGTGGTCCTGGACCCGCACACGCTGGACGGACACCCACTCGCTGGCGCCCTCGTCGATACAGTACAGCCCGGTATCGCCCTTCACGACCGCACGATCCCCCAACATGCTCCCGTCCGCGACCACCTCGTTGAACTTCTCGTGGCCTGTGTCCGAGACCCGCCACTGGCGGTCGGCGGCAGCCGCCACGTTGCCAGGCTGGTGGCCCAACACCCGGGCGAGCTGCCCGCCCCGCAGGAAGAGGTCGTCCCGCTGGTCGGCCGTGAGCGGGTCGAAGCCGTACACATTGCCACGCACCTGTGCCGGCCACGGCGCCGCCCGCGCCAGGGGCAGCACGCGGTGCTGAGACAAGTCGATGACTTGAACTGAGAAATCCGGGGTGGCGCAAACCCACCGCCCCGGCCCCAGCTCGAAGAGTAGCAGCCGATGATGCCATAGTATATTGGGATCGTCGACGAAATCCACCAAGATCTGGATGATGTCAGAGTCCAGTGTTGTCGCCATCCCGCAGTCGCCGCAGCGAAGACGGCGTCAAAGCGGCCCCCTCTGGCTGGGCTGCCGGAGGCGCCGGGCCGCGACCGGCGGCCGCAGGCTGGGCCGCGGCCGGGGCCTGCGGGCGGAGCGCGGCCAGCGCTCCCAGGGTGAGGCTCACGCCCAGCAGCAGCCCGAGGCCAGCCGCCACCAGGAAGCCGCCCACCGGCTGGGCGCACACAGGCGCCGCCGCGGCGTGCAGCCGCTCGGGCCCGCAGCGGTCCAGCTGCGCCCGCAGGATGGTCAGGAGCCCCTCGTCCACGGGGCTGGACTCGAAATGGCACGAGCAGTGGGTGCCCGTGGCGGAGGCGCCGAGGTACGCGCCGACGAAAGCGGAACCCACCCCGCCGAGCTGCTCTGCAAGCCAGTGCATGCGAGCTTGGACCAGAGCGACTATGGAGACGCCCAAAGGTCCCCCTCGGACCTTTGGC